AGGCTGCGAAGAAATACGCCTCCTCGTCCTTGTTCTCCCTTCCCACCTCGCTCCCTCCATCCTCTCTCCTATACCTCACTCCTCCCATCTCCAACCTCCGTCACCTCCTCCTCCTCCTTCTCGACCGCAATCGTTTTCGCCCAGTCGTCTTCGCCCGATCGTCGTCGCCTTACCGTCTTCGCCCTGTCGTCACCGCTATGTTGCCTTCGCCCGCCGCCCGTCTTCGCCTTGTCGTCTTCGCTGGCCGTCTGCCCGCCCAGTCCGCTAGCCCAGCCCGACAGTTGGGTCCACCCGCCAGACCCGCCCGTCAGTCCATCCGCCGGACCTGCCAGCTAGGATGAGCCCGCTCGCTTGCTGAAAAGCACGACGGAAAAATCGAAGACGAAGCGGGATAATTACAACGGGCACGGCGACGGGACGACGACAGCGACCGCACCCCGCCGGCAAAGAGGATAACCAGCGAAGACGACCGCCAGCGAGGACAACAATGAAGGCGACCCTGGCGAATGCGACCGCCACCGAAGGCGACCGCACACGCGCACACGCGCACACACGCACACACGCACACACGCACACACGCACACACGCACGCGCACAACCGCACAACCACACAAACACACACACACACACACGAACACATAACGGGGCGGTCGCGGCCTTGAGCGCAGCGACGAGGCGGAGAACATCAAGCGCAACGGCCGGGGCCCCGCGCGCTGGGCTCAGAGGGGACGGCAGCAGATGCCATTCGGGCGTGGTTGGCGGGGAGAAAGGGAGGACGAACCGACCACCGATCTGGGGGGGGGGGTCGCACAGAGGGCGCAGTAACAACATGACAGGCGACACGACGAGCGAACGATCGACCAACATGCACTCAACGAGTGAACGGGTTGCAGCCGCAAGAAGTCGAGGGCGGAGGGAGGCGGACGTAGATGGAGATGGCAGAATGCCATGGACCACGCTCAGCGCCTACACGTACTTTTTACGTCGGCGGCTAGGCAGAGGGACTGCGCTGGCGGATAGGACGTGAGGGTCCGCCGTCCGCGCGAAATCGATTCGCGCGAAAACTGCGGGCCGTTCGAAAAAAAATCGCTGGGCGCGCGCGCGAAAAGGACCCACCGCAGCCCAGAAGATGGCGGGAATCATGATTTTGGAGAGGTCGAGGCTGGAAAAGCCCGAAATCATGGTTCCCGGCTCTGTCTGGCGCCCCAGGGACTCACGGCGACCAGGAGGATGGCGGGAGCCATGATTTTGGAGAGATCGAGGATGGAAAAGCTCAGATTCCCGGTTCCCGGCTCTGTCTGACGCCCCAGGGACCCGCGGCAGCCCAGAGGATGGCGGGAACCATGATTTTGGAGAGATCGAGGCTGGAAAAGCCCGAAATCATGGTTCCCGGCTCTGTCTGGCGCCCCTGGGACTCACGGCGGCCCAGAGGATGGCGGGAACCATGATTTTGGAGAGATCGAGGCTGGAAAAGCCCGAAATCATGGTTCCCGGCTCTGTCTGGCGCCCCTGGGACCCACGGCGGCCCAGAGGATGGCGGGAACCATGATTTTGGAGAGATCGAGGCTGGAAAAGCTCGAAATCATGGTTCCCGGCTCTGTCTGGCGCCCCTGGGACCCACGGCGGCCCAGAGGATGGCGGGAACCATGATTTTGGAGAGATCGAGGCTGGAAAAGCCCGAAATCATGGTTCCCGGCTCTGTCTGGCGCCCCTGGGACCCACGGCGGCCCAGAGGATGGCGGAACCATGATTTTGGAGAGATCGAGGCTGGAAAAGCCCGAAAATTTTGATCTGTCTGGCGCCCCTGGGACCCACGGCGGCCCAGAGGATGGCGGGAATGATTTGGAGAGATCGAGGCTGGAAAAGCCCGGGTTCCCGGCTCTGTCTGGCGCCCCAGGGACCCACGGCGGCCCAGAGGATGGCGGGAACCATGATTTTGGAGAGATCGAGGCTGGAAAAGCCCGAAATCATGGTTCCCGGCTCTGTCTGGCGCCCCTGGGACCCACGGCGGCCCAGAGGATGGCGGGAACCATGATTTTGGAGAGATCGAGGCTGGAAAAGCCCGAAATCATGGTTCCCGGCTCTGTCTGGCGCCCCTGGGACCCACGGCGGCCCAGAGGATGGCGGGAACCATGATTTTGGAGAGATCGAGGCTGGAAAAGCCCGAAATCATGGTTCCCGGCTCTGTCTGGCGCCCCTGGGACCCACGGCGGCCCAGAGGATGGCGGGAACCATGATTTTGGAGAGATCGAGGCTGGAAAAGCCCGAAATCATGGTTCCCGGCTCTGTCTGGCACCCCTGGGACCCACGGCGGCCCAGAGGATGGCGGGAACCATGATTTTGGAGAGATCGAGGCTGGAAAAGCCCGAAATCATGGTTCCCGGCTCTGTCTGGCGCCCCTGGGACCCACGGCGGCCCAGAGGATGGCGGGAACCATGATTTTGGAGAGATCGAGGCTGGAAAAGCCCGAAATCATGGTTCCCGGCTCTGTCTGGCGCCCCTGGGACCCACGGCGGCTCAGAGGATGGCCAGAACCATGATTTTGGAGAGATCGAGGCTGGAAAAGCCGGAAATCATGGTTCCCGGCTCTGTCTGGCGCCCCTGGGACCCACGGCGGCCCAGAGGATGGCCTGGGACGGCGGCCCAGAGGATGGCGGGAACCATGATTTTGGAGAGATCGAGGCTGGAAAAAACCCGAAATCCGGTTCCCGGCTCTGTCTGGCGCCCCTGGGACCCACGGCGGCCCAGAGGATGGCGGGAACCATGATTTTGGAGAGATCGAGGCTGGAAAAGCCCGAAATCATGGTTCCCGGCTCTGTCTGGCGCCCCTGGACCCACGGCGGCCCAGAGGATGGCGGGAACCATGATTTTGGAGAGATCGAGGCTGGAAAAGCCCGAAATCATGGTTCCCGGCTCTGTCTGGCGCCCCTGGGACCCACGGCGGCCCAGAGGATGGCGGGAACCATGATTTTGGAGAGATCGAGGCTGGAAAAGCCCGAAATCATGGTTCCCGGCTCTGGCTGGCGCCCCTGGGACCCACGGCGGCCCAGAGGATGGCGGGAACCATGATTTTGGAGAGATCCAGGCGAAAAGCTCGAAATCATGGTTCCCGGCTCTGGCTGGCGCCCTGGGACCCACGGCGGCCCAGAGGATGGCGGGAACCATGATTTTGGAGAGATCGAGGCTGGAAAAGCCCGAAATCATGGTTCCCGGCTCTGTCTGGCGCCCCTGGGACCCACGGCGGCCCAGAGGATGGCGGGAACCATGATTTTGGAGAGATCGAGGCTGGAAAAGCCCGAAATCATGGTTCCCGGCTCTGTCTGGCGCCCCTGGGACCCACGGCGGCCCAGAGGATGGCGGGAACCATGATTTTGGAGAGATCGAGGCTGGAAAAGCCCGAAATCATGGTTCCCGGCTCTGTCTGGCGCCCCTGGGACCCACGGCGGCCCAGAGGATGGCGGGAACCATGATTTTGGAGAGATCGAGGCTGGAAAAGCCCGAAATCATGGTTCCCGGCTCTGTCTGGCGCCCCTGGGACCCACGGCGGCCCAGAGGATGGCGGGAACCATGATTTTGGAGAGATCGAGGCTGGAAAAGCCCGAAATCATGGTTCCCGGCTCTGTCTGGCGCCCCAGGGACCCACGGCGGCCCAGAGGATGGCGGGAACCATGATTTTGGAGAGATCGAGGCTGGAAAAGCCCGAAATCATGGTTCCCGGCTCTGTCTGGCGCCCCTGGGACCCACGGCGGCCCAGAGGATGGTGCTGCTGTTCTGCTGCTCTCTGCTGTTCTGCTGCTCTCTGCTGTTCTGCTGCTCTCTGCTGTTCTGCTGCTCTCTGCTGTTCTGCTGCTCTCTGCTGTTCTGCTGCTCTCTGCTGTTCTGCTGCTCTCTGCTGTTCTGCTGCTCTCTGCTGTTCTGCTGCTCTCTGCTGTTCTGCTGCTCTCTGCTGTTCTGCTGCTCTCTGCTGTTCTGCTGCTCTCTGCTGTTCTGCTGCTCTCTGCTGTTCTGCTGCTCTCTGCTGTTCTGCTGCTCTGCTGCTCTCTGCTGTTCTGCTGCTCTCTGCTGTTCTGCTGCTCTCTGCTGTTCTGCTGCTCTCTGCTGTTCTGCTGCTCTCTGCTGTTCTGCTGCTCTCTGCTGTTCTGCTGCTCTCTGCTGTTCTGCTGCTCTCTGCTGTTCTGCTGCTCTCTGCTGTTCTGCTGCTCTCTGCTGTTCTGCTGCTCTCTGCTGTTCTGCTGCTCTCTGCTGCTCTGTGCTCTCTGCTGCTCTGTCCAAACCCGATTGGATTGGTTTTCGCTCGATTGGTTTTCGCTTGAACGGATTACCTTTTCGCTCGAACGAGCGTCTTTTCGCTTGAACGATCCACCCTCATAGGGCGTTGGAAGGGCAATCGAACGCGAATTAGACCGCGGTGCACGATGGGGGGGGAGGAGGAGGCGCCCGGCGGTGGCGGGAGGGAGACGGAGGCCGGGCCCGCTCAGAGCAGGGCCAAGAGCGCGCCGGGGCGGCGCTAGGGGTGGGGGCCAGCAGCAGCGGGGTGGCAGTTGGTGGGGGGGGGAAGCCGGCAAGGCAGGCTGCCAGGCAGCAGGCCGTGCTGGGGGGACAGTGCCCAGCAAAGGCTGGTGGCGAAGGTGTGCACGCAGCGCCGAGGGTCAGCGGGTGCCGAAATCACGTGAACCCCACGTGAGCATCTGGGCCCCACGTGAGCATCCGGGCCCCACGTGAGCATCCGCCTACACACACGCATACGCACACTCTTTCCCTTTTTCTCCCTCCCTCGCTCTCCCTCTGAATGCACGGGGCAAGACTGGACTTGGGTCCACAGCGTCATTGGACTTCACTCACTGGGTCCTGGATCGATCTGCACGGCTACCCCCGTGGCCCATTGGAAAAAGGCGATCCGACCGGGGAAGGGCGCGCCCGAGCGAGGAGGAGCGTGAACCTCCAGACAAGGAGAAACAACCACTCGACGGTGGGCGGAGGATGACTTCAACCGCCCGGGGCCTCGCCAGCCGCGAAAAGGCCCTTGATCGGGCCGGCGGTGCCCTTTACCTGGGACGTGGTCGCGTCGGTGCAGATACCCCCCGCGCAGGAGTACACAGCGGGCGTCACCTCGCCGACGAACAGCTCGCCGTCCTGCCAGGCTCGTGCCCTTGGCTAGAGGATGAGGGAGAGGAAGGGGAAGAGGAGGAGGAGGAGGAGGATGAGGAGGAGGAGGAGGACGAGGAGGAGGAGGAGTAGGAGGTGGAGGTGGAGGAGGAGGAGGAGGGCGCAGGAGGAGTTGGAGCGACCGTACCGAATGAGTCTGGACCTACGGCGCGACAGTGCGCTCAGCAACCAATGGCGGCCTTCGCTGCTGCCAGAATCGTGTAATGAAATGTGGGAGTGGTGGGAGCGCTTCCTCGTGCATCATACTCTGCCTTCAATTTGTGGTATATGTGAATCGCCGAAACGTTTACCTGATGTAAACGAGCACGTGGATACTCTCGCTCAGGATCGGGTTCTATCCCCAGTCCGAGGCGAGTAATGGGGGAGGCGGGCAAGTGACCACGAGGAAGAGCGAGGAGGTGAAGCAGGCGAGGACAGGAAAGGTAGTGGCTGAAATCATCACAGACTGGGGGCTCGCATCCGAAAAAACAAGGCCGGCGGTCCATGGATGGGATCCGCGCTGATGTAGTCCACGCTCCAGCCAAGGTCTTTAAGAGGGCCCATGCCCGGGAGGGCGGGGATCTCGCAAAAATCCTCCAGAACGCGATCCATCGCAGGCTGATCTCATGATCCGGGAGTTTGGGGAAGTGGGGGAGCCAGGAGTGGATGCGTCGACGGCGAAGGGAGGGCATACGGTCAGGGAACAGAGATAGCCGAAGTGCTCGAGCGAACACTCGCTGTGGGCGGGGTCGGCGCCCGTCCACCCCGGCAGTGCGGAGTTCCACGTTGGCCGCGGTCGCACTCTCTTGCCATGCGTGCTGGGGGATACCCATGGCGGGGCGTGGAGGGCAACGAGGCAAGGTATCCAACCATGCTGGCAAGGTTCCTCCACCACTCGGGGGAGAGAGCATCCCGGAGGAAATCCACAAGATGACCATGCAACCAAGCATGCTCGTGCAGTTGCGCCAGTGCTGCCCTCTACCCGTCCGCGCCCATGCTGCTGCTGCTGCAGCTGTCGTGCAGAGCGGGGATGGGGTGGCGGAAGGGAGCCACGCTCCAATGCGCAGAAGTTCAGCTAATGCGAAGGAGTTGGGAGGGAGACGCAGGAGGCGGTGGAGGACGTGACGCTCAGCAGAGGGCACAGCAGCAGGGAGGGGGAAGAGTTGGGAAAGATATTCGCACACTGGCAATATCCCCATGTTACAGATCCTACAACCAGCCTCGGCGGGGGCCCTGGTAAAGGACGTTTCCTTGGTCCTGGTCTTCCACTTTCGCACCACCCCGGTCCACTGGTCATCCAGACCAGCCTCGGGGCCGACCAGAACTCCGAGATAAGGGGCGCGGCCGGCGATCTTGAATGCGCCCCACGCTGGGACCAGTACCTGAAGAAACTGGCGCATCTGACGAGTACTGGCCTCCGTGAAACGCTGCCCCAAGGAAATTAAACCGCACTTGGCCGGCTGAAGCTCCAGCGTGGCGACTTTTTTCGGCCGAAGCGAAAGGCGGAACCAGGAGGGGGAGGTCATGGGCGGAGGGGAGTGGAACCCACGTCGTCAGCACAGGCGCCGTTGAGCGGCGGGACGCTTGGGAGGTGATGGATCTGGGCCGTCTGCGCCTACAAATGCCTGAGGAATGGGTCCATAGCGAATGCCCCGAGGGTACCAGAGAGGGGACACCCCTGAGCAACGCCAGAGGTAGAACAAAAACAACGGGGAGCGGAGGGGGCCAGCCTGGAGGCGAGCAAAAGAGGAAGCGTATACCGCATCCACGAAGGCCACATAGCCCTCAGGGATCCTATGTTTCAAGAGAACACGCCATATAATCTGTCGGGACAGCGACGGAACCGCTGCCTTCAAATCAAAGGACACAAAGACAGGCATCAGCTCACTGTGGTGGCTGGCAGCTCTGCAGCAAGCGTCATGCGCCACGATGTGCTCCAGGAGATTCCGTCCACGAATGAACCCTTGCTGGACGGGGTGCGCTCTCGCGCCAATGACCGCAGACAGCTCGTGATTGACGGCTGTCGCCATGGCCTTCACGTCGGTGTTCTTCATGGTCAGCGGGCGCGCCTGTCCAGCCCCGCGGACGACGTCAACTGCGCCAGCAGGCTCGACGCCCTTCGGCGCGAATGCCAGGCCCGAGAAGTTGAGGCCCCACGGCGGCGCGCGCCTGGCGAAGAGGCCCACCATCATCGAGCAGAGCGCCTCAAGAAGCCGCTCGTCCAGCAGCCAGGCCGAGGCTGGTAGGCGGTCCGGGCCAGGCGCCGAAGACTTTGCCCGGGAGAGGGCCCCAGCAAGCGCCTTCATCGATGGAACGGGCAACCACGGGGCTTCGTAGTCGGGGACGTGCTCGGCCAAGTACTGGTCGACCATAGCTTCATCGACCGCTCTGCCGCGGAAGACGGGGCCCCAGGGGCGGAGAAGCTCAGCGCGCACGGGGGCGTCGCTGCCCACTGTTTCAGCGTGATGGCCAGGACAGTCGACGCGAATGCCGCGGAGCTGGAGGCGTCGGCGGAACGGCGCCCGCAGCTGCGCCCGCCGGCAAGCGGCGCGATGTAGCTTCCGCGTCTGCGTTGCCGAAGGGCCAGCGCCTGCTGGGCGGGGCCGGGCCGCGTCCTCAGCGCGCTGTGCCGCAAGGCTCTGCGTGCGATCGTGCCATTTGGCGTGGAGGTGGATCGACTGGATGAGGAAGGCCTCGGGGTCGCGCAAAGTCACGCCGGACTCGCCGAGAAGCAGGTGGGAAACCCCAAACTCCGTGGAGTCAATGAGGGTCTGGGCCAAGGCCGCGTCCTGCCGCCAAATGGCCCTTGCAATAGCCCTAGCAGTGATTCGCCTGCCATCGCCGGCCTCCTCGGAGCCGCCCCCGATCGGTAGCCGCTGGAGCTACTTCTGGGCGAGGCGGGCCGCCTCGTGCAGCAGGGTCTTGACGAAGGCCCAGCGCTCCGACGTGCCTATGGCGCCCAGGTCGGTGCAATCGAAGAACGCCTTCGCGTGCCGCGCAGAACGGGGCGACCTGAAGATGCTTTCAGGGATTGCCTGCGCGTCGCGAGGCGACTCCACTGTTGGCCGGACGGTCAGCTGCACGATGGCGTCACGATGGCGTGGCCGCTGAGGCCCCGCTCCGAAAGGGAGGCCGCCACCTGCCAGATCTTCATCGTGACGTGCGTCTCCGCAGCCCTGGGCGACCGCAGCGAGGCGAACGCGCGGTCAATGAAGGAGCTGCTGTAGGACGCCTTGGAGAAGTACGTCGGGAGCTCGCAGCAAACCTCCAGCGTAGTGCCCTAGAAGAGGCGCCCCCAGAAGGATTGACCTGCCTGGGCGCAGTGCCATGCCGGGCCGACTTCTGGAGGAGCTCGCAGGGGCACTCTGTCTTCAGGATGTTCCGGAGGGGCTTCGCCAGAACCCTCTGAGTGCGAGTGCGCGTCTGCGTCATAACTGGCCGGCGCTGCGCCAGCTGCGCGGCGAGGGAGATCGCGTGGGCGCCGAGCTCGAGCCCGCGCAGGTTGTGGACAAAGGTGCTGAACAGGTTCATGGTCGCGGACGTTGAAGTCGCCGATGGCGACAAACGAGCGATGACGCTCGGCTTGTTGTGCTCAGCGGGCAGAGGAGTCCCGCGCAGTCCGAATATGCGACCGTTCTGAACGGGACAGATCAACATTATGGATACTCATCAGCTTCAAATACTGGTTCCTGGCAGAAATGGAAATCAGCAGCGCCGCAAGCCTCCCTGCCGCCAACGCGTCGAAGTCGAAGGTCGGGACAGGCGAGGGGTCGATCGCAGCCGGCGCCCTCTCCGAGTGCCAGGGGACCAGGAAAGCGACGCCTCTAGTGCCAGGGGTGACCCCAGCAGAGAGAAGAGACGGTACTGGTAGCGGTACCGTCGGAGAATCGCTCGGATCGCAGGCACCCGACCATGAACTTCTTGGAGAAGAATGACCATGTCTCGGCGCATCAACTGCTCCAGGAGGGCCCACTTGCCGCGCCGCTGGTGACCGCGGTGGCGCGTGAGTCCGCGGGCATTCCACGCGGCCACCCGGAGGCCAGAGGCGCCCAGCGAAGACTGCGCATCGCCCAGCAGCCAGGGGCACCAGCGCCCGTCAGGAAGACAACCGCGTTGACGTGTTGACCGCCGAGGGCGCCAACGTAGCCTGGAGGCGGCGCTGGACCCCCGCCTTGTCGATTCCCCGGGTGTCCGCCGCGGGGTCCCAGGAGAGCTTGCTTGGCTCATCGAAGCCCCGGGGCACAAGCTCGACAACAGGCGCGGAGTTCCGGCTGACGAGGCCGTGCGAGCGGTTCGCAGACCAGGCGGCCTGCGGGTGCATCTCGGTGAGGACCGCCAGGGCCCGCTTTGTATGCATCTCCCTCCGAACCTGCCTGGGCGCCTTGTCAGCCCCGACGTAGAGCGGGCACTGCTGGCCCGAAGGCGTGGTAGCAGAGAAGGTGCGCCATTGTCCGCCGGGCCGGCGTAGCGCTCTGGTGAGCGCGACGGCGCGCGGGGCTGCCGCTGGGCCACCGCGGACGTGGATATAGAAGCGCTTCGCGGGGCCTGCGGGGCCCACCACGTCGATGCGCTCCGTGTCCACACCCGAGTCGGAGATCCACTCACGGAGGCTCGCCTTGACCGCGTCGCTGGCCAGCTGGGGCGAGCCTGCGGTGAACGTGCACGGGTCGGCATCACGGTCATATTCCGCCAAGCGCGCCAGGTCCGCGGCCGAGAGCTGGCGCTCGGCAGTGGCGAGGAACGCCTTGATCTCGTCCACGCTCTTCTTGAGGTGCTCGTTCTCCTGGGCCATGAGGTGCTGCTCGTGCCGGAGCCTCTGGATGCCAGAATCGTGGCCGCCGAGCCGCTTGAAGGCAGGGTCGAAGAACTCGGACATGGTTTTGAGCACATCGTTCTGCGCCGCCGCCATGTTGCGCTGACACACCTGCTCCATCTGCGTGACCGTGGAACCGTGGAGTCCACGTGAGACTTGACCACCCTGGAAAGCGCGGCACGCATTTCCTCCGAGAGGGCGTCGCTCGTGCCAGCGTGAGCGGCCGAGCCCGCGGCGGGCTGCGCAGCCGGCGGTGGCGTTGGCTGCGCGGGGAAGGTGGGCATCGCCTCCAGCTGTGCGGCCAGTGCAGCGCTGGCCGCGGCCGAAGACGAGCCCGCTGCGCCTGGAACGAGGTCTCCCGAAGCGGGGCCACCACGTGGGGGACGCTGGCCATTCCGCCAAGGGTCTTGGTCTTGGAGAGCGTCGTGGGCGGCCAGCACCGCGCAGGTGGCCTCGGCTGCTGCAGCTCGGGCGCGACGGTCTGGACGGCGGTCGCAACGCAGGGGGCGGCGTGGGGGGCAGTCTTTATCGCTGCCGCTGTGCGACCGCGGTGCGTTGGATTCGCCACTATGAGAGTCCATGGCGGCGAGATCGTAGTAGTGAGTGTAACTTGTCCCTCGGCGCACGGGAGCTCCCGAGGAGATCGTGAGAAGTAAGGCCCCATGGCGGCCTTGAGCCCAAATGGCTGCGGAGGAGGAGGAGGAGGAGGAGGAGGAGGAGGAGGAGGAGGAGGAGGAGGAGGAGGAGGAGGAGGAGGAGGAGGAGGAGGAGAGAGGGGGCAGGCTGCAAGACGACGAGAAGGGGAGGAGACGGGAGGTAGGGTCCGAGAGTGGGGACCGGGGGGGTGTCAACCCCGAGGTGGGTTGGTTTGCTCGCTTTCGATTGTACTTTTACTACGAGGATCCTGGCTACTCCGTTCTGGTCGTGGACGACGGACGGGTTCACAGGCCAGTTGGACCGCCGCTACTCGCTGCTGTCTGTCCTTGCCTGCGGCTGCATCTCGCTGGCAGCCGCCTCGCTGACGCCCCTGGCTTGTGTCCCCCATGACTTGCCCAAGAAAGACACATGCCAACCCCGAGCCCACGGCGAGTCCCTGTTCGCACCCCCCCTCCCTTCCGGGGGTCTACTGACCCGGGTCGATCCAGACCCGGGTCAGTCGGGCTCTGCAAAATCCTGCAAGATCCCATCGGATCCTGCAGCCTAACCGGGGTCAGTGCGCCCCTGGCCTTGCAGGATCCTGCAGGATCAGGAACTCTGACTGACCCCCGTTCGCATTGAGCCCCGTCTCTTGAGCTCCGACCCTTGCTGGCCCGGGAGTCCCCAGCACCGCGCTCGGCGCCGAGACCTGGCGGCCCAAAAGGTGGAGAGCGGCCCTGCCAATGGGGGCCCCTGGTCGGCAAACGTGAGGCTCGCCGGACTTGCGGAGCACCGAAGACTCACTTCTCGGGGGAAGTCGAAATTGGGTAGGGGCAGAGGCGAGGGTTCGAAGAAAATCAATCAAAACGGTCCTTGCAATAAGTAAGTGATCGTATCCAGCCGGGTATGTTCCCTGACCCCACCTTGGGATAAGCCCCCCCCACTACGAACCCCGAACCTTCCCCTTCCGCAAGATGGATGCGCCGCGCCAGATGGGCCGTTTAGACTCAGCCCGAGGGCAGAACAAGCTCCAGGCAGAACTCATGTTGCACATGTTGGACAGACGGTTGTCGCCAGGAGCGCCGAGTGCGGAAGCGGGAGCACTCCAGCAGCAAGCGGACCGAGCTCGACGACGGCCCGCCCCACTCCTGGGCCGGGCAAAACCTGCGCCCGAGCGCGCGGGGGGCCGCCCGGCCGCCCCGGGGTCCTGATCGACGACGTCTTTGAGCGACTTCAGCAACGCCGCCTGCTGTTTGTGGACGGGTGAGAAGAAGCGGCAGCGCACGCCCCGGGAAACAGCCATCAGGAGGACAGGGCACAGGCGAGAGACTCTCAGTGGAGCAACTACAGACTGATGAGAAAAAGCGGCAGCGCACGCCCTGGGAAACAACCATCAGGAGGACAGGGCACAAAGGCGAGACACTCTAAGCGGAGTCATTGCAGACTGATGAGAGAAAGCGGCAGCGCACGCCCAGGGAAACAGTTGAGCATATCAGGAGGACGGGGTAAAGGCGAGACCCTCTTGGCGGAGCAGTGGCACGGAGCGGAAAGCAACAGCGGCGCTGCCTGCTTGACGCCCATCTCCTTGGCGAGCGCCGAGACGCCTCCCGAGCCCCCGGACCCGAGCTTCCGCATGAGCTTGTTCTTCTGGTAGAACTCCATCATCCACTCCAGTGGTGCGGCCTCTTGATGACAGTGTGGCGGTGATTTCTGAGCGGGAGGAGGAGGAGGAGGAGGAGGAGGAGGAGGAGGAGGAGGAGGAGGAGGAGGAGGAGGAGGAGGAGGAGGAGGAGGAGGAGGAGGAGGAAGAGGAGGAATATGATTAGGAGGAACAGGAGGAGGAGGAGGAGGAGGAGGAGGAGGAGGAGGAGGAGGAGGAGGAGGAGGAGGAGGAGGACGAGGAGCAGGAGGAGACGAAGGCGGAGGACGCGGAGAAGGCACGAGGAGGCACTGGGGAGCAGGAGGAGAGGAGGGGGAGCAGGGAGACGGCATGGGAGGGCCAGGAGTGGAGAGGAGAGCGAGGGGGGAGGGGAGGGACGAGGGGGCAAAACGACTACCAGTGCCCCCCTCGGAAGATTGACTGCCTACCAGACCACCCCAACCCAACCCGCAGACCCGACTTTCGGGTCGGGGGGGGGATACGGGTTCCATATCAAATTCCCAACCACCTTGTGGTGTTGGGTCCTCGTTTTGAAGAGACGGTGCCCCGCGTTTCTTGATTCCTCCTCCCTCCTCCCCTCCTCTCATTTCGGCACACCCCTCACACGTTTCGTGGCCCCATAGGAGCTCCGCCGAAGGTCACAGTGGCACAGTTCGCATGCGTCCCCGCCACTCATTTCGGCACACCACTCACACGTTTCGTGGCCCCATAGGAGCTCCGCCGAAGGCCCCGGTCGCACAGTTCGCATGCGTCCTCGCCACTCATTTCGGCTCACCCCTCACACGTTTCGTGGCCCCATAGGAGCTCCGCCGAAGGTCCCAGTGGCACAGTTCGCAGGCGTCCCCGCCACCCATTTCGGCACACCACTCACACTTTTCGTGGCCCCATAGGAGCTCCGCCGAAGGTCCCAGGGGCACAGTTCGCATGCGTCCCCGCCACCCATTTCGGCACACCCCTCACACGTTTCGTGGCCCCATAGGAGCTCCGCCGAAGGTCCCAGTGGCACAGTTCGCATGCGCCCCCGCCACTCTTTTCGGCACACCCCTCACACGTTTCGTGGCCCCATAGGAGCTCCGCCGAAGGTCCCAATGGCACAGTTCGCATGCGTCCCCGCCGCTCATTTCGGCACACCCCTCATTCGTTTCGTGGCCCCATAGGCGCTCCGCCGAAGGTCCCAGTGGCACAATTCGCATGCGTCCCCACCACCCATTTCGGGACACCCCTCACACGTTTCGTGGCCCCATAAGAGCCCCGCCGAATGTCCCAGTGGCACAGTCCGCATGCGTCCCCGCCATTCATGTCGGCACACCCCTCACACGTTTCGTTGCCCCATAGGAGCTCCGCCGAAGGTCCCAGTGGCACAGTTCGCATGCGTCCCCGCCACTCATGCTGGCACGCCCATCACACGTTTCTTGGCTCCACAGGAGCTCCGCCGAAGGTCCCAGTGGCACAGTTCGCAGGCGTCCCCGCCACTCATTTCGGCACACCCCTCACACGTTTCGTGGCCCCATAAGAGCCCCGCCGAAGGTCCCAGTGGCACAGTTCGCATGCGCCCCCGCCACTCATTTCGGCGCACCCCTCACACGTTTCGTGGCCCCACAGGAGCCCCGCCGAAGGTCCCAATGGCACAGTTCGCATGCGTCCCCGCCACCCATTTCGGCACACCCCTCACACGTTTCGTGGCCCCATAGGAGCTCCGCCGAAGGTTCCAATGGCATAGTTCGCATGCGTCCCCGCCACTCTTTTCGGCACACCCCTCATACGCTTCGTGGCCCCATAGGAGCTCCGCCGAAGGTCCCAATGGCATAGTTCGCATGCGTCCCCGCCACTCTTTTCGGCACACCCCTCATACGCTTCGTGGCCCCATAAGAGCTCCGCCGAAGGTCCTAATGGCACAGTTCGCATGCGTCCCCGCCACTCATTTCGGCACATCCCTCACACGTTTCGTTGCCCCTGTAGAAGCTCTGCCGCAGGTCCCAGTGGCCCAGTTCGCATGCGTCCCCGCCACTGATTTCGGCAGACCCCTCACACGCTTCGGGGCCCCATAGGAGCTCCGCCGAAGGTCGCAGTGGCACAGTTCGCATGCGTCCACGCCGCTCATTTCGGCACACTCCTGACACGTTTCGCGGTCCCATAGGAGCTCCGCCGAAGGTCCCAGTGGCACAGTTCGCAGGCGTCCCCGCCACTCATTTCGGCACACCCCTCACACGTTTCGTTGCCCCAAAAGAAGCTCTGCCGCAGGTCCCAGTGGCACAGTTCGCATGCGCCCCCGCCACTCATTTCGGCGCACCCCTCACACGTTTCGTGGCCCCGTAGGAGTTCCGCCGAAGGTCCCAGTGGCACAGTTCGCATGCGTCCCCGCCACTCGTTTCGGCACACCCCTCACACGTGCCGTGGCCCCATAAGAGCCCCGCCGAAAGTCCCAGTGGCACAGTCCGCATGCGTCCCCGTCACTCGTTTCGGCACACCCCTCACACGTTTCGTGGCCCCATAGGAGCTCCGCCGAGGGTCACAATGGCACAGTCCGCATGCGTCACCGCCACCCATTTCGGTACACCCCTCACACGTTTCGGGGCCCCATTGGGAAATCCACCGAAGGTCCCCGTGGCGCAGCCTGCATGCGTCTCACTCACCCAGTACAGCGTTTCGTGGCCCCATATGGAGCCCCACCAAAGGTCCCCGTGGCACAGTCCGCATGCGTCCCCGCCATTCATTTCGGCACACCACTCACATGTTTCGTGGCCCC